CAGGGGTGCTCTGTAAGCCTAAAAGTCTTCATGGACAGTGGCAGGAGTAGAGGAAGGTCCTGTGAGTACCCCCACCACCTCACCTCCGGCCCCCCGCGGGCGACAGCGCCCCTCCTGTGCATCATACTCCTCCAAGTCGCTGGTGCAGAGGCACAGGAAGGAGCCCTCCACGTTCTCACAGAGCGCAGCCCCACACACCGCCAGCATGAGCTCACACTCATTCACATCTGCAGCGGGGCATGAGGACAGGTTCATGGGTGGGGAAGAGGCAGTCCCTGTCCTCACCCCAACTCCAACCCATTTCCCAAAAAGAAACAGGCTAGGCCTGGGGGGAAGAAGAAGCAGGCCTGAATTAACAGGAAGGAGGAACAGATGGACAGAGGATGTGGGGAGGAAGAGAGGAGAGGAATGGCAGACAAGAAGCATGAAAGTGACAAAGAGGCAGGGTTACCCTCTGTGCATGTTCTCCAAACCTCACGCCTCCGGGGGCCCTGCAGGCTCAAGAGCAGGAGGCACCTTCCTTCTGTGCTTGTCCCCTACCAGCCTCCAGGGTGCCCACTGCAGGGGGAGTGCCCACCCAGGGAGCCTGAAGCCTCCCTCTTCCTTGCTGCCTCCCTTGCCCACACTATGGGGACCTATTATGGAGTCATGTGACCAGGAATATTTCAGGAAGAGGGCCCTGGGGCCTTCCTTTCCCTTCCCTGGCCCAGACCTTGGGTAGTCTACAGGCTTCTCACCCACACAGTCCCAGCCTGAGGGCGAGATCTCAAAGCCCTGGTCACAGAGGCAGCGGAAGGAGCCATCAGTGTTGTCACAGAAGCCATGGCTCCCACACATGGTGTCGTTGGCACACTCATCTATGTCTGTGGGGCAGTAAAGACCAGTGTAGAAGGGTGTGTGCTTGCTCTTTCTCCCAGCCCCCGGTGTCAGGAACACTCATTTGGCCTACTAACACCAAGATCTATGAAAAGTAAACTCTAAACATAGGGCAAGAAAACTAACATTAACATTCCTCTTCAATTTCTGTGTAAGCTCTGCTGTACAGAAAATATACAAATTTCAAACAGCTGCAAAAACAGTCCTCAGGAGAAAACAGTTTCTAGCTCGATACATGACAATAGGTGTCCTCAACCCTCAGGCCTCCAGCCCTCCCTCCCTACTCACCAATGCAGTCTCCATTCGGCGCCATGTGGAAGCCAGGCTGACAGCCTGGGATGCAGTGGTAAGAGCCAGGGCTGTTCTCACACCTCCAGGCCCCACACACTGGGTCTCCGTAGTCTTCACACTCATCAATATCTGTCCCCAGAGCCACAACAGGGGACAGAGGTGGCCAGGTCACTGCTCTGGTCCCACCTTGCTGGCATTACAGGATTATGCCCCACAATCTCCGGGCTCCCTGATCTGTTCCAAAGTACTATGCTTGTCTCAACCCAAGCACATCCAGTTCAGCTGAGGTAAGGCTGAGCATATGGGAGAGACATACGTGCAGTCTAGGAAGCACTTCATACGGCTCTTTGTATGGAACCTTCAGGGTAGTATATTACAGAGAGTTGTCTTCATATCTGTCTCCCTTGTTCAAGTTCAAGATTGTCTATAACTGTCTATTTGTCCCAATAAAAGACATTGAATGTAGCAGGTGTTTAATAAATGTCTATTGAATCAATTTGGCCTTTAAAACTAGATTGTGTGCTCTGCCAGCACAAAGATTATAACTGTCTTCACTTTGTCATCCTTGGACAGTTGCTCAGCCAGCAGAGGCTCAATAAATGCATTATCCAGGGATGATTACTCTGTAGAAAGCACGCTGCTTCATGGGAGCTGAGGGCTGGGGTGTAAGGGCAGAGGTGGGCAGATGTGGGGCAGAGCCCTGCTCCCTCCCCTGGAGCCCTTACCTACACACTGCCCGCTCTCTGGGGAGGGCTGGAAGCCAGTCTCACACAGACAGTCGAAGGAGCCCTCCGTGTTGATACAGTGGCCTCCCGGACACGGGTCTGTGGTCACACACTCATCCACATCTACAACAGAGATGACCATCAGCAGACCCAGCCATGGGCCCCTGCCTTATTAGGGCCCCAGGCAGCATTCTATGGGAGGTCAGGGAGTGGCTCAGGGTAGGAAAGGGCTAGAAGGTCTGAGGGAGAGTCCAGAGCTAGAAGCCAGAAGCCAGGCTTAGGGGAGGGTCCCTGGGGCAAGAACTCTGACACTCAGGTTTGGAGAGGGTGAACGCCTGCCTCCTGGAGAGGCCCTGGCTGAACACTGGGCCCCCTGGCATCCCTCCTGGCCTTCCAACTTCTTATCTCTTGGTGGGGCTGTGAGCATTTTATTTCAGCACTGGTGTTAAAATGAACTCCACTCTAGATATAGCCTCTAGTGACCCTGCTGTTGGCCAGTAGTGTGGCCATGCTGGCTTCTCACCCTGGCAGCTGGTGCCCCCCTCTGTGCTGGTAAAGCCAGGCGCACACAGGCAGAAGAAGGACCCATGGCTATTGAGGCACTCGCCATGGGGCGCGCAGTGCTCCTCCCCCACACACTCGTCCAGGTCTGCAGGGAAAAGTCAGGCAGTAAGTGTCTCCTGAGGCTGTCCCTACCTCCCCACACACTCACTGTCCCCAGTTGCCAATGGGAGAGCTGAAGCTACTCACCCTCACACATGGTGCCATTGGCCAGCTGGAAGCCCTGGGGACAGAGACACAGGTAGGAACCGGCTAGGTTCCTGCACTCCCCTCCCAGGCAGCTGCTGTGGGGGTCTTCACACTCATCCACATCTGCAGAGCACAGAGGGGAAGAAGGCAGCTGATGACAGACATCACCTCCCAAGGATAAGAGCCAAGGGGCAGCCTCTAGGGGACCTGTCACCTGCTGGTGAGACTAAAAGCAGCACAGCTGGGAGGAGCGGGGGCACAGGAGGGAGGAGGCTGACTACAGCTCCTTCCACTCCTGCTTCTGGTTGGGGTTGTCCACTGCACAGAGAGGGGGTCATCTGGGTCTCCCCCCACTGGAGGGCTCATACCTTCACAGGTGTGGCCCAGGGGGCTGGGTCGGTAGCCCTCATCACAGTCCTTGCAGGTGAAGGAGCCGACGGTGTTGGTGCAGACTCCAGACGGGCAGACTCCGGGGAAGGCGCACTCATCTAGGTCTGGGGCAGATAGACAGCCAGTCTCCCAGGGACCTGGGAGGGAGCCCTCCACCCAGTGATGCCGGAACCTCTCTGAGTCCCTAGGGAGGGGCAGGCCCAGGCTGGGAGCTCTCTGTAAGGCAACCCCAACACCCCCTCCCCAGAATGTTCCAGCTCAAGCTCTGCCCTCAGCATCCCTCTTGTTTCTGTGACTCCCTTTTCCTCCCATTCTCACTTCTGAACTTGGGGATTATGACAGTATGAGGTCTCCTTGGGGCCTAAGTCCATTTATAGGGTTCTCTAGCCTAGGCCGGAGGCCCTCAGCATCAGCTGGGAGGCAAATGGACTGTTGTTCAGGAGGTAAGAAGCCCCCAGGGCTACCTTCGCAGGCGGTGCCATCCTCATTCACCCAGTACCCATTCTCGCAGGCAGAGCAGGTGAAGGAGCCCTCAGTGTTGATGCAGAGGCCCGTGGGGCACGAGGCCCGGCTGGCGCACTCATCCACATCTGAAACAGTGCATTGAGCTCTCTGTGGGACTCTGCAGGAGACTGACAGGTGGCAGGGGTCCGGAGAGGACAGGCCTTGGGTTGGCATGGCTGGGGAGGCAGGACCAGGGGTGGCTGTGGGGGTGAGGTGCAGAGGAGAAGGAGCCATAGGCAGGGTTGCCTGTGGAGGAAGGGTGCTTTGGCATCTCTGTACCTTGGCAGCCCTTCTCGTCTAAGGTGGCCTCGTAGCCTTGCTCACAAGAGCATCTGAAGGAGCCTTCCAGGTTGATGCACCTCCCATGGGCGCAGACCCCAGGGGTCAGGCACTCATTCAGGTCTGTGGGAGAGAAGTCCAAGGTGGGCACTGGCTTCCTCCCCTCTATGCATTCCCTCCTGGACAGGCTTACAGCATCTCACTCTTCAGAGGGGCACCAAGAGGCCATGCTCCCTCATCCTGCCTATGCAGGGCAGGGTACCTTTGTCCAGGCACTCTTCAGCTCTGTGTAGTGACACAGTACCCCGCTTATGTCCTAGAAAAGGGGGCCAGTTCCCCTAGACCTGGGGCTGGTTTGGCCCATCTGAGGATGCTGGAATGAGGTGTCCAAGACCCTTGATTCACCTCATGGTGGCTCTGAATTTCTCTGGCTTCCCACCTGCCAACCAACAACCCTTGTTCCCAGCCCAACAACCAGCATAAGTGGGTGGACAGCAATGTGGAGAGAGGCCAGGCCATGCCTGGGTGGCTGGGTAGCAGTCCAGAGGGCCTGGGAAATGTCTGCCCTCTCCAAAGCCTCAAAGCATCCATTCAAAACTCAGTCCCTCCTGGCATTCTGAACCCTGGACCCTTCTTTCTGAGGGGGCTGAGGGGAAAGAACACTCTACTCCTGAATGACCCCCTTCTCGGGGGAGAAGGGCAGCTACCACCCAGTGAGGTTGTCTGCTGAGACATCTCTGTGGAGATGAGAGGGGCAGAAGGCCCCCCTCCCTGGGAACTGCGGAAGGAACTGCCTTTCACCACTAGAGTCTGCCCCATCCTGAGACCCTTAGGTTCCTCACTCCACCCTACAGGACCAGCCACAGAAGCTTCCGGTACTTTGGGCTATAGGTCCAGAATGGATATGGCCAAGGAGCAGAAGAGGCCCCCACACTGGCTGGTTCAGAGGCAGAACCCCAGTAACTGAAGCACACCCTCTCTGCCCAGTGCCATCTGGGGCCCCAGCCAGATGGTGTACAGTAGCCTCCACTGCCCTCTGCCCACCTCTTTCCCTCCCTGTGTGTGGGCTCAGCCAGTGGTCCCAAGGCTGAACGGCCCTCTCAGTGCCTTGGCAGGCAGCCCTCACCTACGCAGTTCCCGCTCTGGCCTCTGTAGCCCTCCTCACAGGCCAGGCAAGTGTAGGAGCCGGGGGAGTTGACGCATCTCCCATCTGGGCAGGTGCCAGGGTGACGGCATTCGTTGATATCTGTAAAACAACAGCTCCTCCCTTGGTTATCCCTGGGAACTACAGCACATGGGTAGGTCTGTGACGTGGTAAATCCTTGACCCTTCCCTTTATTGAGGAGAGAGAGGTCAGTTTCCGTACTGATGAAAACTAGGAAAAAATGACAGTTGCCCCATGTTCCCCACTCTACTTCCCACCCACTGTCCTGAACAAAAGGGAGAGATGGAAGAACTTAAAAATTAGTCAGGGAGACTCCCTGGGTGGGTGCAAAAGGCTGTGGTTACCACCAGCTGTAGGAGGATCAGAGAGCTCGACTTTGTCAGATGGACTTTTTGGGATGGGCCTTCATATCTCCCTTGGGGAACGCCTAATCCTTAGTAAGCGGTGACCATTACTGGAATGGGATCCGCTTGGCATAGCAACCAGCCGGACTGCCGCCAGAGGCTCCAGAACAGGTCACCAGAGAGGCAGTGAAAGCAGAATGGGCTTCCTTGTACCAGGACATGAAGATGGAGGATAACACCCCCAGACCAGTCCTCTGGCTGAGAGCAGACCAAAGAGTCAAGGCCAGTAAGGCTTCTCTGCAGAGAGGTTCAGACATTTATTTCAGCCAAGACCCAGGCAGGATCTAGGCTCTTGGCTCCTACTCTGGTGAGACTCAGAAAGTCAGCCAGAAAGGATGAACCTGGACACCAACCGGACAGACAGGGAACAAGGGAACCCAGGGAGGGAGACTTACAGCAAGAGGAGGGAAGAAATACTTCTCCCAGGAGCTGAGGAGAGGGCTCTTCCCCATGTGACCTGGCATATCAGAGAGTCCATCACCAAAGCACCCAAGGGACCTGGACTGAGTTAGGGAGGTCATATCACAGGCCTGAACTCTGGCTCAGAACTGCAAGAGGACATTATGTTCCTGTGGCCCAGTGTTGAGACTCCTGGTCACTATTCATGACAGACAGCTTGGCTAAGCTACAGGGGAAACAGGAGGATTTATTCTTACTAAATGGGTAATTGTCATTCTCCTGGAAGAAGGCCATTAGCTTATGCAGATTCAGAGGCCCTATTGCCTGGAAGGGAGACCTACCCAGCATCCATAGAGAAAATGTAAGAGTCAGGCCAAGGGTCAGAACACAGGCTTTCTGCAAGAATAATAAAGCCAGCAGCTATCATTGCAGACCAGGACTGGACCTACAGTGGGGGAGGGTGAACATGGGTCCTCTCTTGAGATTGTTTGGTCTGCAGTAGTCGGATACATCAAAGCCCTTTGCTTTCATGAGGATCCAGAAGAGGGTGATATACCACTGGGCAGGTGGTTATTCAGATGGTTATCTGCAAGGAAACACCCACACCTCCTAGGTCATCTTGGGGGCACTGAGATAAGGCTTGTCTCTGGAAAGAGGACAGCCATGAACTCCTAGTTGTGTTGTAGTGACACCAGTCTAGTTATTCTAAGGGTTTTGGTAAAGATAGAGCAGAAGAGAATGAAGGATCTAGAAGGACCAACTTTGGATGACCAACTTTGGCAACCCAGGAGATAGCAGCCAGCACCATGGCTTGCTGGGCTTGGCTGAGAGGCCTGGAGGAGGATGGACAAATTCTTCTGGAGTGGCAAGCAAGCCATGCTTCAGGGATGCCAGGCTCGGGGACAAAAAAGAAAAGATGGAGCTAAGGATCTTCTTACATCCATGGCAAGAAGAAATGATGTCTTTGCCCCTCTCCTACAAGGATCAGGCAATGCAGGAAAGAGATTAGGTTTACTGGGAGCAAAGGGCCCTGAGTTCCGTCCTACCCCAAGTGTGCTGGGCACATCCATTGGAGGGGTTGTGTGAAGTGTCTTAATGCTGGGCATTTAGGAGACTCTATGGTGCTCACTAATGCAGAACTACTCCAGCTCTCCACTTTCTGGGTTGTGGTAGGCTTGTGCCTCCTGGTCCCTTGTGGTTGGGTGGGGCCGTGAGGCTAGTGCTGGCCAGTGAGCTATGAGTGGATATGACATATGTAATTTATGAACCAAACCATTATGTAAAACCCTCCAGGATGCTCTTTCATTCTTCCATGGAGACCAGACACATTCCAGATACTGGCTACTCCTTTAGCCTGTATCTCTAGTGAGGACACATGGGGCAGAGACCCCTGCTGACTCAAGATGGCATCAATGAGCTGGAACCTTGGCTGCATTCTTCATCACTAAGATTGGGGCTCTCTGTTAATGCAGCACCACCAAGTCTACTCTGGCGCACTGCCCGCTTCCTTCCTAGACCCCTCGCTGGGGAGGGGGAGGGCAGATGATCATGGCAGCCCTGTCTCTACCTGGCCAGGGAAGGGCTTTCCTGAGTGGAAATGGATACAACTGACATTAACCATGCCAATCCAAAGGAGCCAGATGAAGATTCAGGATGGTCAAGTTCCTCTGCAGATATTCTGAGGCTGTTCCACTAACCTCTTAGTGTCTGCAGTGGAACCAGTCACCAGGTGCAGATTTTTCTGCCTAGCGTAGGGGTTGAAGTTAGCCTAAGAGGATTGTGTTTTGGTGGGTTTTATGCTCTGGTTGTTGGGGGTAAGAGCTGTCTTAATTATTGCTCTGCCTAGTCCATGGCTGGCACACAGCTGGCATTCAACAACTGTTTGCTATCAAAGAACAGGACAATGTGCCTCAACTTTACCCATCGTCTTCTTGGAATAAGGCTGCTGAAGAGACCCCAAAGGACCCATGGAAACAGTCACTCCCAGGACCAGTTTCACTAGGAGGATCCTGGAGCTTTTCTAACCAGTTGGAGTGGAGGAAGTGTAAAGCCACCAACTCTGTCCCTTGTGAGAGCATGCAGTTGGGGTGGAAAGGGCACTCTGGCAGGGGCCAGAAGCTCAGGTGACCTTGGATAGGGTGGGGCACAGCAAAGGCCTGGGAGACTGGAGGGGAATCTACCCTCGTCCTGTGGGAACCCAGAGTCCTGGCATGATGGAAATGCCATCGAGACTATTGGATGGGCTGCTGTCCAGACCACTGAGTCTTTCACCAGAGACTTTGAGTTTCAGTGGAGAGAGTGGTTTTTTTACTTGGAGAAAGAAGAAAGAGGGAGAGGAAATTGACTGGGCTCGCGGGGTGATGGGCTGGGTTTGTGGTTACTGATGGAAACCTGGAGAAGTGTGCAGGCTACATCATTCTTCCTTTCAACAGACTCAGAGCGTCTGCCCTGGGCCAGGAACTTCGCCTGACCTCTTAGATGAGGTGTGCGTCTAGAATTTTTCCCCTGAAGGGAAGAGGACAATCCAGAAGAGTGGAGTGGGAGTGGGGGAGTGAACTACCCTCCTACAGTACCATGTCCCCCTCCTCATTGAGGGTCTCCCTGTGCCGGAGCTGGAGCACTTTGTATGTGTCAGCTCATTTGGTCCTCACAGGAATCTCTGAGATGGGCATTATGGTTTCCATTTTCAGACATCAAAACAAAAGCCAAACCCAGGCCTGTGAGTGCCAGAGCCTGTGCCCTGAACACGGACTGGTTAATATAATTCTGATGTTTTTAATGTTCTGGTATTTTCTTGGTTCATTTCCTTTAGTTTTGCTTTGCTTTTTAATCAAGTTAAATGTCAGATTCAAATGTTGTTGTGGTGCTTCAATGAGGTGATCTGTCAAGGACCTAGCACAGTCGCCAGGTAGGTATCAAATGGTGGGTGATTTTGCTTCCCATCCATCGGGAAATGCCAAGCTGTCCTGTCTCCATTGTGCTAATGAAGACAAAGAAGATGGGTTCTGGCTTTGGTCACACGTAGGCCTGAGTTTTATAGGGAAAGAGCGCGAAGGAGGCATTGAGAGGAGAGGTTGCCTGTCCTGCACCTGCAGCCCCTCTCCCCTATGCTAAGACCATATAGGACTCTGGACTTTGCTCCAGAGCAGCATTGGGAAGGGGGACTGTCCCTTCACAAGGTACATAAGCTCTTCCCTTCACCTCCAGGACTGTCTGAAACCAGGCAAGTCCTGGGCAGAGAAACCTGGAAGCTGGGAAGAATCTGAGTTTTAGTCCAATCCAGGGCAGAGTTTTCCCAGAGAGCCTTAATTAAGGCTTCCCGCGAGCCTGTGACACCCCAGTCTGTCATGGTGGTGGTGGTGGCAAAGCTGCCAGGAAGTTTTCAGAGTTGGCATAAGAGGGCCAGGCTAAAGCCAACAGAGGTCTGTGAAGACACCAGTTAGCAGTGTCACAGTGTCTGGGAAAGGGAAAAGGATCTGGGATCTCACCTTCCTTCCTCCTTCCATTCATCCAACCAACATTTGTTGGGTGCTCTTCAGGTGTCATGCATGGGCTGTTTAAGGACCCATCCCTTAGGAGCTGCCAGTCTAACAAGCTTTAGCAAGAAGGCCAAGACTCCCAGACAGAAAGACTCTTCTCTGCCACATGAGAAGAGTACATTTTTTTGTATAGACAGAGTCTCACTTTATAGCCCTCGGCAGAGTACTGTGGCATCACAGCTCATAGCAACCTCCAACTCCTGGGCTTAGGCGATTCTCTTGCCTCAACCTCCTGAGTAGCTGGGACTACAGGTGCCTGACGCAACACCTGGCTATTTTTTGTTGCAGTTTGGCTGGGGCCGGGTTTGAACCCGCCACCCTC